CCCTTTTTCTGGTTCTTTTTTTCACATTGTTTTGATTATATTTTCTCGAATCGATTTTGTTACATAATTTCGAAGCATCCAATGCAAGTAGCGCTCATCGAAGCGATTCGCTTGATCCTCGACTGTAACTTTATTGTCAGAAATCTACTGAAAAGTGCCACATCTTCATTCTTATCCTCAGTGTATTCTTTCATCCTCATAGTCAGCTTTAATGACGACAACTAGGTGGTCATGTTACTTTGATAATGACCCTAACTGATTTGACCACTGGAATTCTTCTATATCAGGCTACACAGAATAAAAATTCGGAGATTCATAAACCCTACAAAAAGGGTTTTGCTGTTCTCAAACCTTTTAGATGATTCAAAAACGGAAATATCGTTTTCTGGTCAGGTTCAAGAACCCTTTTTGGGTGTTATGATTATGTCTCATGATGAGATTTTCATCAATAAAAATCGAATTAGAATCAACTCCGAAACCTCAAGTCATGGGGCTCTGAACCTTTCCTACTTTAGTCTCATCTTTATCTATGAATGACAAGCAGGAAAAAAGATTTATTGAATTTTTCATTTTTGGCCTTTCGCAGTATTTTACATTTTTCAGCACTTTCCAGATCTTTTAAAAAAACAGACTGTAGTGCAACTTGTAGAGAAAAAAATTCTCTACAAGGAAGACTTATAAAATTTGTGCCGGAAATATATCAACAATGTAATTCTTTCAAAAAAGCCCAAAAATGAGTTTTTCCATTTTGAACTTTTTGGATTCCTATATGTAATGTGCGAGACGTAAAAAGTACCTCATCTTCTTCAGTTTTCTTTTCTCTTTCAAATGAGACGTTGCTCAAAAAAAATTGATCGCAAAATGGCAGAGAAAGAAGCGAAATGCTACTTGCTCGATTTTTTTAGAGAACTAAGAAAAATTGAAAACAGTCCGTTTTTTGAAAATCATATATCTCGGTGAAAAATGTTTTGTTTGGCCTAAAAATCTGGCTATAGAGGTTTCTCAACATGAGCTATCGAATGGGCGTAGTTAGATCGAAATCTAAAATTTTTCATGTCACATGAATTCTCGATGGGCTGGTGGACCCTCTCTTAAAACAACACATTTTCGGAAAAGCAAACACCGACATTTTATGAACTAAAAGGTGACTGGTGAATGTGTCACAGAGCGAGTTGTACAGAGCAGAAAATTCTCTATCGTCTGATGTTGGAATGAACTCGTGAAATTATGTGGTATGTAGATAAATAGTTTTAAATATATATAATCTTATCATTCTCGAACGATCTAATGTAGGTAAGAAAGTTTGACAAAAGTTTTTTTTCGCATCATGGCGACAATTTTTTTAACACAAAGTAGATGTAGTATAAAGCTTACTATATCATGTTAAAGAAATTGATCAGACATAATTCTTTCATGAGTGCAGCCTTTTATTTTATGTCGCACTTTTACTTTTCGTCTTCCTACTCAACGCTATCTTATCAAACACAGGATCAGTATGTTTACATCGTATGTACAAAGTTTTGTAAAGCAGAAAAGTCTCGAATGGAGTCTTAAAACATTGTTTTACTGTCTCAGAAAAGAAAAATGGCTCATTTTCTCTATGGACCATCCGTTAGAATGATTTAAAACACTCCAATGTAAGTAATATCATTTTATGAAAAATTCTAAATTCTGATTTTTGTCAATATTTAAACATAAACATTATTGTGCAAAGTATAGAAAAATTTATCAATCCACTCTTGTATCAATATCGGGTATGAGATCTCGAATCTCTAAAATTCGATTCTTTGCACGATTTCGGTTATTTAAAATATCAGATGATTCACATTGTGTAAATCCACCATTCGCTAAATATTATAATTAGGACAATTACAAAATTAGATAAGGAGAAAGAAACATTATCAAAAAACAAAACAAAAAATGAAGACAGGTAAACTGTTTTTAAAAATTAGTGCTTATGATACTGTTCGAAGAAATGGTTAAGACAAAGCACTTTGCTACATTTTATTAAAGATGTATTTACACATTGATTGAAGTGGCAACGATCATTCCCAAACTAAAAACAGATTTGTTTTGCATTAGAAAGTGAACTAGAGTTGTTCTTTAAAGCCACCCTGGTACCAGGCGTACTTTTCATCAAGTCGCACAAACAGAAAAATATGTTTAGAAAATGAGTTTATCGGTATTGCTGGGGATTTTAAAAAGTAAAGCTGAAGTAGATTGGGAAGCTGTCAGAGATTTTTGAGAATAATATCCTTTCTGTTTCAATACTTTTTAAAGCTTAAGATATAGCCGTTTCCAAGTGCATAAATTTCTGCGCGTAAAACAAGGGGTGTTGCATGGAAATAGGATAGAAAATGGCTGACAAAGAGCGAAAAAAGTAGAGAAACACAGGCGATAAAGTACGGAACATGGATTACAGATGCACAGAAAACTCTATTTTTATGCACTTACTATCTGAGAAGTTTTGATAGCTGATGCTTAGATTTTTCAAAACAATGAGTTATTTATTGGTGGTTGACAGCTTAGGGATCTAATAATTCGTTACATACCGATAAACTAGCGCCACTCAGGGCTTATGCGACCTGATGATTTATCATGGCATTGAATTTCGCTGAACTGAATTGATTGTACACAAACGAGTTTAACTTGATAATGTTGTTTCTTTGTGTAAGATTTATATTAAAATCGTATAAACGTACATGGTCGTACAATTTTCGGATAACGTACTTGTATTGCCTGTTCCAGTAAACATCCAATGGTGGGATCATACTAGTCGTTTTTTAGAAATCTGTAATCTCTCTAAATGCTTCATATTTTCGTGTATGTTTTTGTCACCTTGAGCGCCTCAACAATCGGAGAGTAGTAGACACTTTTTATTTTTTATTGTTGGAATTAGAACCGCCTCCCTCCAATGCTCGACAAGTGACGTCGTCAGCTTCCCTGATTTGCTGCAAGTGAGAACAATATTATCGACTTTAAAGAGATTTTGCTTGATATTTTCTGATAAATGACCAGTTGGTTCTTTTAAACACAAGTAGAGTGGAAAGAATTTCTGTTTCTTCGTGCTGTGTGACTCGATGTGTTTTCGAAAACATAAAACATAATTGGCTTTTTAACTTTCGTGAACTGACGGTGAAAGCTATACGTTCACGAAACCCTTTTTTCTCAATCTGTAACGTACTTTTCACTTAATTTATTACCTCAAATAATTTAGTTATAAAAAGAAAACGGAAACCATTAAAAGACATATCAACAAATAAATATGTAAAAAAGAATCCATCTTCAACAAAAAATCTTATTTTTAGTAAAGGTAATGGTAATATTAATTGACACATGAATTATTCGTGTTTACGTTTATATTTATATATATTTTATTTAGGTGCATCAACAGAAGCTTCATCTACATCATCAATATATTTTACACCAGTTAATGCTAAAAAACATATTTTAACAAAAAAAAATGATACAACATCCATACAACCACAAATAAGAACAACAATAGATGATGACAGTTTAATATCGCTATCATCTATATTGACAGCATCAGCATCACAAGTACATGGTATGGAATACTGTAATGTGTGTAATAAAAGCCGACTGTTCATATTTTAGTCCATGTATTGTAATATTGTCTCATGCAAATATATGAAAAATTTATCATTTTTCAAAATCTCAAAATTTTAATTCATTTGATTTTCTGACTCGTAATTAAAACTTTTCAACATAAAAAGTATTGTTTTATTCAGCTTTTATTGGTCTTTCAAGTAAGATATTACTTGAAAAAATCAGCTTATTATTGTTCAGTTATAGTCAAAATACTATAATTAGTGTATTTTTTAATTTTTGGGGCTCTTTTCAGAAAATTTTTCTAATTTAAGAATAAAAGGTTTTAAAAGGAAAACATAATAGTAACTATGAAAAGGATTTGATTCTATCCATGATTGGATAGAATCAAATACTTTTTAGGAAAGAATAATTTGCGTCATGCTATTGTGATTCCTAATGTTTTTATGAAAATAACTATTTTTTTGTTGCGCTGTTAGTCTGAAAGTAATAGAGATTGAAGTTTTTCCGTATT